CTGTAAGTTTCAAGTCAAAAGGTACAATGGTTTTCCACTTATCGTGTTATCGGTGCTGCATGTATGTTGAAAAAAGTGAAAAAACAGCATAAATTCCCTAAGAGTGACCCGATCATGCTGATTTTCGAACTTGACCTGCGTATTATGAATATTCATCAGTTCTGCAAGTTTCAAATCAAAAGGCAAAATGGTTTTCCACTTATCGTGTTATCGGTAAAAGTGCACGGCGACGGCGACGACGGCGACGACAGACGCAGATGATGGCTATATGTACAGACACATCTGTGTCTGTACATAAAAAGAGAATAGGGAAATTGACTTTATGCACATTAAGTTTATTTTCAAGAGATATTTACAATAAAAAGTATAATTCTCAATTTCCTGGCCTTTTTGATTACAGAACTTTTGTTGCACATATTTTTGTAAACAAATGAAATACACTAAATCACACTAAAAGTAACAGAATGTATGCATGCATATATGGCAATGATGGTATAGTTGTCAATTCTGCATCTAGATTACAAATTATTTTGTCGTTTTCATACTCCCAGAAGTTATGTATGATAGTAGACCACTGGATTGTTCTTTATCAATTTAACATACTTTAAATATTCCAGCTTCTTCTACTTTGTACACAGTGCCAATATTTCCAGGACCTCCGTCATTATTGCTAGCGTTCCAGTGTAGACCTAAAAGCACGACAAGGCAGTGACAGTATTCTCAGAAGATTAAGGGACCATTCCCACAGATATTTGGATCGATCTATCTCCACGGGGAGTCTCACTAAATTGCTATCTGCTATCAGCGAGGCTGAGTGTGCAAGAAAGATAATTACCCCCTAGCTGATTCAGTAGGCCTGACAGATGTTTAAGCCTCTTCAGATGATAGCAATTTAGCGAGAACCCCCAAGGAGTTAGGTCGATCAAAATGGAAACCCAGGCGCTCACATTCCTTTCAAACCACTAAACTAAATATTGACCACAACAAACAAATTCCCATATTAAAAACCAATACTTAACCTCCAGAAAGATATTTCATCAGCCGCGTT